GTGCGTGGCTCCGATACATAAACAGCCACAGCGGACACAGGCAGGTGGGCGAGCCTCCTGCACTCCGCCTCAGACAGCGAGGACATGCGGAGGCACCGGTCCAGCTGGTCCCACTGCAGTGACTGGAGGCCAGAGCGGACCCAGCGCTCCAACCGGCCAGGGGCCATGCTGCCTGCCGGAGGAGCTGCCGCTGCAATGTGGAGGATGAGGATGGAGAGAGGTGCCGCAAGGAGCACCAGGAGCCTCATTGTCACACCTGGCTCCTTCTGGTTCTTTGCTCTTGATTTAACCCTTCTAAACTGGATTAATTGTTTAATTAATTAATTGTTTCTACTTTTGTCCCCCAGTCCTCCTTATTCTTTTGATTTGTCCTTGTTTTGCTCTTTACTGTTGCCTTTCCTCTTGGTTCATCCTTCACTCTCTTTTTGCCTTTTTCCCCTTGATTATTCCTTTTCTCCGCTTTAATTCCTCGTCCTCTTTACTTTTCTCCTTTTTATCCAGATATGTATTTTTTCCTCAACTTTTTCCCTTTTATTCCTCTGTATCCTTTTTTTCCTGTCACTTTTGACTCTTCACTCCTGTTTCTGTAGCTTACTTTGACTTTTTCAGTCGGTCCTTGTCATCAGCACACTGCAAAATCAGGCTTTTTTGTTTTAGTTTTCTTCACTCTTTTTTCAGAATAATATATTAAATTCTTCAAAAAATAAAAATTGAACTCAGACTCTATTCCCTTGATTTGATCAGCTGACAAGCTGATTTTCTTTCTTTAGTTCTTTCTTTTCTTCCTTGTTGGATCTAACGACATCATAACCCATCATCATTAGGTTGAAAGAAAAACTTCTCCTCTATCTCTTTGGGTTTCTACCTGCTTATTCCTCCTTTTTTATCTGGATTTGGAAAAGGAAAGGTGACAAACTCAGACACCAGTGTGCTGCGATTATTCCTACTGATTACTCAATCTTTATTTTCATCTCTGTATTTCCTTCCTTTATTTCTTTTCTTTGCATCTGAGTGGATGCATCAGACGCCAACATCCTCATTTGGTTCTTCTTTTCTCGTGTCACTTTTTCTTCTTTATTCCTCTTTTCTTCTGGATTTCTGAGGAAACAATATATCCAATAGTCCCCAGAGGCACCAATTTAGACCTTTTTTTGGTTGTTCTCGTCTTTTGTTGATAGACTGCCTTGTCCTCCCCCTCCTCTTCTTCTTCTTTATTCCTCTTTCAGTTGGAATGATTTATTCGGCCGAGCCGGAGCAGCTTCAGGCTCTGTGTTGGTCTGGAAGGTGATGGATCATCCTGGAGTAAGAAAATGTTGTCCCTGGTGAACAGGACTCAGTTCTCAGAGGACCGATCCTGTTTCTTGCTCCCCTTCAACCAGTTTGTCCTGCAGACCCTCTGCTCCCAGTGACACTTGAGACTGGATTGTCCACAGCTCTGAGGAAAGACGCACTCCTGCTGCTCAACCCGCTCACTACTCAGCTTCAGTCTGCTCGCTCTCTCCTGCTCTCTTTATCTCTCTCTCTCTCTCTCTCTCTCTCTCACACCACACACACACACACACTTGTCTGTCTCTCTCTCTTCCTCTGTCTGCAAGCTCTGACATGCCAAAAGGGAAAGAGGAGAAGACAGAAGGATATGAATGGATGAGGAAGGCGAAGGGAGAAGGGGAGGAAAGGTGGAAGAAAGAAGGAAGAGAGAAAAGGAAAGAAGGAGAGGAAAGAAGGTGGAAGAGAGAAATAGAGGAAGTAGAAACGAGAAGAGATGGACAGGCAGGAAAAAGGAAAGGAGGAGAGGAAAAGTGAAATAAAAGAATGGAATGAGAAAAGAGAGGATAGAGCAAAAGAAATGGATGGGAGAAGGAAAGAAGAAAAAAGAGATGGAGGAGAGCAAAAGGAAAAGAAGGAAGGGAGAGGGGAATGGAAACAGGGAGGAAATGAGAAGAAGAGGAATGAGAGAGGAAACGATATGAAGAGGCAGGAAATAGGAGGAAAAAGTTAAAGGGGAAAAGATGAAATAAAGAAAAGATGAGAAGGAGAGAAGAAAGGGTAGGAAACTACGAGGAAGTGTGAAAAGGAACGAAAATAGAGGAGGGAAGGAGAAAGGAAAAGAAAAGGGCACGGGAAGGAAAGAAGGGAAGTAGAGCGGAGAGGAAACAGAAAGGATGTAAAGGAGGGAAGGATGAGAGTGAGGAGGAAGGAAAGACAAATGTTAAAGGAAGAAGATAGAAAAACTGGACACAAGGAAGAGGATAAAGAGAGGAGAACCAGAGGAACAAGAAGGGAGGACAGGACAGGAGCAGAGGCAGGAGGTCTTCTGCCCAGTGAGCCCTCTAGTGATGAAATTTGAGACGTACAAGCCTGTCCTCAGAAAGGAAATAAAATAGGACCAACTAAAGCTGAATCCCATCAACCAGTATATTAAGTAATCCATGTCCCCAGTTTAGTGGATAAAGGCACTTTTTGGGCACTGAAAGTTTTCTTTGCAGTCCATATATAGACAATCAGTGCTTTGAATGAGTAGAGACAAAACCTTGAAAAGGCTGATGAGAGTTAGCTGCATTGTTTTCCCATGTAGCCCTCCTTTTATTTTCATGTTTTAAGTTCTTAAGGTTCTCTTTTTGCGGCAGCTGTCTTTTAATTAAGTAATTTAGGGATTCATCTCTCAATTAAACGAAAGGCTGTTTTTTTTTGTAGACTCCAACACAAAGCAATGCATTGAAATACCCTTGGCATTGTGTGTCAGCTGTTTATTCATACACTATAAACAAATATTATAACACGTGCTACATTTTTAGAGAGACAGGCAAACAACTTGCAGGCAGAAAAGTTTCTAGGACCCTGATTCTGTAGACGGAATGAATACAACAAGAACATGGAATATAATTGTATTAGCTGTGCTGTTCTCAGTTCCCAAGAAGTAAGAAACTAAAATGCCATTTTAATGCTTGGACTACATGTTTATGAAGCTAGGTTGCCCAGAATACATCACCATGGCAACATTCCACTAATTCACACATTTATTTTTCCCATCTCAAGCTGTGTTGTTATTATTATCATTATGATCATTATATGATTAAAAAACCAGTATAAAGTCACAATATAAATGTATATATTATATAGGATGAACTCTTTTATTCACAGATGGTATTTCTACTACACATTATCATTTTATTGTGATTACTTTACAATCCAGTCAGGGTGTGGTCTGGCTATAATCAATATCTGCACAAAATTTCCTGGCATTACATCCAATAATAATTGTACTTTTGAAAACACAAATGGTCAGAGTAAAGCAAAGTAAAAACTCAGTTTTACTGATGGTGTATGGCCCAAAATCACAGATTTGTCTTTTACAATCTGCACAACATACTACACCCTCTGTCTCACTATTCTGCTCCATCAATTTTTTTTGTAGAGTGCATTCATTTACTGTATTTTAACACTAATTCCAGAAAGTTACATTTGAGTTTAGAACTGAAAGAAAACTTTCAAGGATTTAAAAAAATCATGTATTATCTTTATATTTCTTTGATATATATCTGCTAAATGTGATAGAGAGAACAGCAGGTGATGAATGAAAGTGATGCAAAGCCAAATACTGCCTGTGTGCATCGACATATGTAAAATCATTTATTTAAGCGGAATGAGTGAAATAAACAGACCGCATTTTAAAGCCCACAAATAATTAGGTACTGATTGACTTTATTGATGATCTTTGTAGCTATTTAATGAAAACGTTTAGCAAGGAAATCCAAATACCAAGCAACTTATTACAAAGAAACCTGTTTAGCATCACACTTACTTTAGAGTGCATTACACTGAAGCACTTCCAATAGGTTATACCAGTGTATCACAAAGATTTCAAAAAGATTACAAGAAAATATCTCGTCGTAAACTGCTGTAGGTGAACTCTCAACCAGTGGAGGGCGCTCTGATTCAGAAGCGCAGCCTGAAGGGAGGTCTCAATAGACGATCTTCGGCCATGATGTTTCACTCGGACTTTTCAGCTAACCACTGCAATGTGAGAAACTCCAACGAGCAGTAGCCCATCGCCACACCAATGGGACAACGTGTTAGGAACACCGCAGGGGACGAAGTAGGTATGAACACGTTTTATAAACAGATACAGCTTGAGTTTTATTGTCGTCACTGGGCGGGGAGGGTCTTTCAAACACCCGATGACAGTTGGTGTTGTGTTGTTGCTAAGCTAACTGTGTGGACGGTGCAGTGGTTAACACAAACGGAGCTAGCGTAAGGTAATTGGTAACTAGTTAGCTGTCAGGTCAGCTCTACTAATGCGGGTTTACAATACACTGCTGTTAGAGCCGGAGTGGCCCGAGCTAACGCTGTTATTTTAACTAGCTATAATTCTGAAAGATTTGTTAGTTTGCCAAGCTAAGCTTTAAGCGGCGTGTCCTGTAAACAAACACACACACACACACACACACACACACACACTTGTGTGACAGCGGGGTCCGCTAGTCTCAGCACGCGGCACGATGCCTGCTGAAAATGTCACTGAAAAGACGGAATTTAAGAAAAATGACAAACTCCTTTTTACATCGTGGACGTTGATACTTTGCTTTAGTAATGCAGGCTAGCTTACACCTCACTCGCTTAGCTTATCTAGCTCACATAACCGCGATTTCAATTATTGGGCATCTACTTAATGAGCTAACTTACAGCAACCTTTTCAGTGTAGTTTAAAGTAGGCAGTAGTAGGTATTTTGTTCGAATTTCATATTTTTTGAAACTTTCACTATATCCTGACAGTAGAACATGAGACAGATAATTTGTGAAAAACTGTCAGCTTCCTCTGGCTCCACCTAGTGCTCCTAATGGTAACTGCAAGCATCCACCGGGCCTGAGTGAAAACAACCAATCAGAGCAGAGAAAAATGGTTGATTGGGTTGAGTCTCAGTCCCAGGCCGTAAAATACAGACACTTTGGGATTCTTGGACTGGGACTCAACAATCAACTATATTCAAGCCTCCAAGGTGTCTTCCTATATTTCTATGATCTGATGGTTTTCGTACAGGCCCGGTGGATTCTTGCAAATGCCATTAGGAGCACTGGAACGAGCCAGAGGAACCTGATTTTTTTTTTCACCGATTATGTGTCTCATGTATTTCTGTCAGGATGAAGTGAAAGTTTCAGCAAATATGGCAAAAAATATTTATATAAAAATTACCTACTGTAGCTTTAACTGTGTAGCTGTTGTTGAAAATTGGCATGAAGCTATTTATTTTCTTCGACTTAGGAGATGTTTTAACTGTGTTAGTTTTCACTGCTCACGTACTGGTGGTACTTTTTGTTTAAATAGACCACTATACTTTTTCTACCTCTCAAAACACACTTGCTAAATTGCTAATAAACAACAGGTTAAGGGAGAGGCAGTAACTTTCACTATTGGTTTCGATACTTAAAAGGTTGCGAGTGACTTTCTTTCCTTATAAAGAGTAAAGAGATCAGGATCTATGATTATCAGAAGACTGGATTCCGTCAGACTGACTCTGCTTCTCCTCTTGTAGTTTCAGTGGTGAATGCTGTTGGTTTAGGTCCTCCTGTGACTCAACTGAGGAAGATATGAGGACACCAGTTTCTCCTCCAGGACCTGATATCTTAGCGTGAGCCAAGTATGCGGTCTCAGGCAGCCTGAGGGGTACATTTTATCCCCAGAGTTGTTGAGAAGAAGGAAGAGTAACTACGTCTTAGTCTGCATCAACTAATGTCCTCAGGACTCCTTGGCTCTGCCTCGGTCTTATATTAAACTCTGAGGGTCACTCTTAGTTAGAGTGTGGACCACTTCCTCAGGGGAAAAAAGCCTTATGTGCCTGCCTTTCCTGAGCTTCATGTGAGCATCAGGTGCATCGCTACCGAGAGCTAACAGCGTCCCGCTGACGTGCAGCTAGGTCCAATCGTTGCTGTCCCTGCATCCGTGGCGGCAGTTATGTTCACTGTTGTACGGGATTTATCAAGAACTTGTAGTCAATCTACATTTCCAACTCCATTCAGCTGGAGCTGACATCTCAACAGTCATTCCTACTGAAGAACCACCCATTGAGAGGGGAGCCACAAGGAGGGTCGGGGTCTTTTAGGGAAGAGAACCCTCCTCCACCTCAGGCTTTAGTATTATCTCCACTGTTAATTCCAGTGTCCATCCAGAACCTCTGCCCCTGAACTCAGTCCTCTATACAGAACTCCATCTTCACTGGGCGGTGCCATGCCCACCAACCAATCCTCCCCCTGGGGTGGGGGGAATCTTCGGACTTGCTCCAACGCTGATAGGCCCACCACTGCAAGTACACACGCCAAAACAGTTGCGGCCACTAAAGTGCCTTTTAGTCAGACTTCCCTCGAGCTATCCAGGAGAAAGGACCAAGCCAGACCTCGCTCCTGTAGTTCAGCAGTGGCCCCGTCTGTGCTTTCTGTACGGGAGAATGGGGATGGAAATAAAACCAACACCCAGAGCCAGTTCACCGCCGTGCCAGACGGGTCTCCAAAAACGCCACAACAACTTAACGGGATTCAAAACCCACACCGGGTACTGGCAACAGGACTGAAGCAGACCGGTACCATGCAGAAATGTATGTCGCTTCAAGCCTCTCAACCTGGAAACGGTTTGGCAATGAGCCGACGTCAGGGCGCCGCAGGTGATGTGCCGCTGGGGTTGGAGTCTCTCTTGTCAGTTTGTCATCAGGACCTGTTGATCAGAGGACA